TTCGAGGTCTTTGATCCATTTAGAGTTGATTGTGGTGCAGGGTAATATATAAGGATCTAGCTTTAGTTTTCTACAAGTAGTTAACCAATTTTGCCAGCACCATTTACTGAAGAGGCCATCTTTCTTACATTCTATTTTTTAAATTCCCTTATCAAAGATTATATGGCTATTGTTCTGTGGGTTCATTTTTGGGTTTTCAATTCTATTCCATTGGTCCTGAGGTCTGTTCTTGTGCCAGTATCAAGCTGTTTTGATTACTGTGGCTTTTTAGTAGAGTTTGAATTTTGGGATTGATATTCCTCCAGCACTATTCTTTCTGTTAAGGATTGTTTTTGCTATTTGGGGTCTTTTATTGTTCCATATGAATTTTTGGGTTGCTTCTATTTCCTTGAAGAATGAGGTTGGAATATTGATAGGAATTTCATTGAATTTGTAGATAGCCTTAGGAAGTATTGCCATTTTCACAATGTTGATCCTTCAGATCCAGGCACATGGGAGGTTTTTCGACTTTCTAAGTTCTGCTTTGGTTTCCTTTTTCAGGATTTTAAAGTTTTCATCATAGAGCTCCTTCACTTCTTTAGCTAAGTTAATTCCTAGGTATTTTATTTTTTGTGGGGTTATTACAAAAGGAGTTGCTTTTATGATTTCAGCGGTGCTCTTCTCATTGTTGGCATAAAGAAAAGCCATTGATTTTTGAGGGTTAATTTTATACCTGCTACTTTGCCAAAGTTTCGAATCAGCTCGAGTAATTTGGGAGTGGAGTCCATGGGATTCTTTAAATACAAGATCATGTCATCTGCAAAGAGGGAGAGTTTTATTTCAGCTATCCCTATTTGGATCCCTTTTACATTTGCATCTTGTCTTATTGCTGTATCTAGGCAATCTAATACTAAATTGAAAAGAAGTGGAGAGAGTGGACATCCTTGTCTCATTCCTGAGTTTAAGTGAAATGGCTTTAGTTTTTTTGCCATTAAGTATAATGCTGGCTGTAGATTTGTCATATACAGTCTTTATTGTATGGAGGGATGTTGCATGGATTCCTAGTTTTTCCAAAGCCTTCATTATAAAGGGGTGCAATAAAATGCAAACATAAAGGGGATCAAAATAGTGAAAGATAAAATAAAACTCATGGGATTGCATGAAGTTGCAGTTTTCTGCATGGCAAAGGACATGTCTAGCAAGATCAATAGAAAGCCCAAGGAGTGGGAAAAGATCTACACTAGCCGTACAACAGACAAGGGTCTCATATCTAAAATATACCTGGACCCAAAAAATTAAATCTCCCAACAACAAATCCTCAAAGAAACAACTGCCCAATAAACAAGTGTGCTAAAGACTTACAGAGAAACTTCTCAGAAGAGGAAAGAAGGATTGCCAATAGACACATGAAGAAATATTCAACCTCCCTAACCATAAAAGAAATGCAAATCAAAACAACATTGAGATACCACCTCACCCCAATTAGAATGGCTATAATCAAGAACTCTAATAACAACAGATGCTGGAGGGGATGTGGCCAGAAGGGAACCCTACTGCATTGTTGATGGGAGTGTAAACTTGTTCAATCACTTTGGAAAGCAGTATGGAGGTTCATCAAAAGGCTCCACATAGAGCCCCTGTGACCCAGCAATCCTACTTTTGGCATTCGATCTTCTGCACGGTCTAACCTACTGTTTTTTATTTCCTTTCCTTCTAATTGGTCAGCTTTGATGGCTTCAAATTCTTTGTTGGATCTTTGTTTTAGGTCTTGTATGGACTTCTTTACTTCTTTAATTGGTGTTCAGTATTTATATTCAAATCTCTTAGTTGATTGGTTATGGTTTCCTTGGACTCCCTTTCCTTCTGCTGGGCTCCATTAAGCATTCCCTTTGTGATCTCCCTGGATTCCTTCAGCTGTATGTTTATGGCTTCCATGAATGCCTCTATTGACTTTGTCTGTTCTCATCTTGCTCACACAATTCCTGTGTTACTCTTTGATTAGTTTCTTCATGCTCACAAGATTCTTGTATTAATTTTTGGCTAGACTCATCATGCTCGTGAAGATCTTGTATTAATCTTTGGTTAGCCTCGTCTTGCTCCCCATCATGCTCACACTGAGTCCTTTGCAGGCTTTCAATCTTTTCATTCACCGTGTTTACCAGTAGTGTTTGTAGTGTTTTGGGGAACTCTCCTCTGGATTTTTCATTAACTGTCTCATTATCATGAGTGGGAATTGAGATACCTGGACTTGCCCTTTTTCTTGTGTTTTTCTAGCTTGTTCTGCCCATTTGGTATGAAAGTAACACTGATTTCATGATAGAACACTATTTTAAGGCAAGCAGCAATCAGAGTCCTGTAGTTGCACAGTCAAAATGGCTGCAGATACAATTTTATTCAACAGATTCAATCTATTCAACATCAAACAACTATGTTTTAATGGGCTCAGAACATCAAAGAGGGATTCGGCAGAATAGAAATTAATAGGTTTAGGGTGAATTGTGGGGAAAAATTGAATTAGAGGAATGTGGAGAGGTAAAAGGAAAAAGTGAATTTAACAGAGTACTAATCTCAGAGAGGAAATGGATAGAACATAATAAAAGAGAAAGATAAAGAAACAAGAAAAAAATAGAAAAGCAAAAATTTTAATTTAAAAAATGAAATACTTAAAAATTATGTAAGTATAAAGAAATAATACTGATAGAAGAAAAGGATAGATGAAAGAAGAGAGATAAAAAGGAAAAATAAAATAATATAAAAAAATTAATGGAATACTTAAAGACTAATAGGTATAAAGAAATAATGCTACTATTAAAGAAATTAAGCCTAAGAGGTTGTGAATTGAGTAATCACTTTCTGAATTAGGTATGTACACAATGAAGAATACGGCCTAATAATCAACAACGGGTATATATCAGGGGATAAGCAGAACAGCAATTAAGTCATGTAAAAAAAAAAGACCTAAAGGTTAAAAGAGATAACACACACACACACACACACACACACACACACACACACTTGAAATATATATTATGAAAGAAAACATTTAAAAAATTTTTAATTAGATAGAAAAATGAGTTATTTGGGTTTTTTGGTGGGGGGGAGGGCGGGCAGGAACATCTTGTCTCCCCTGTGTGTCCATAACCAGTGTCTTGGTGGAATCTCTGGTTTGCTTGTGGTGTTTAGTTTTCCTGTGACTTGATTTGTTTCTTAAGTCAGTTTGAGCAGGCAGAAAATTGCTCTGCATTACCCACAACTTTGTGATCCTCCTCCCAGACTAGTTCAGTGGGAGGCAGTTCTGCTTTGAGTATCACAAAAGAGGTAGATATATGCTTCCTCTAGCTTAGAGTTGCTGAGATGAGGTTCTGGGTAGGGTTGAGGCCTATCAGCAATGATTAGCTTCTCCCTGAGCTCCTGAGACACTCACAAAGCCCAGCCTGGAGCCATTCTCAGGATTTGTATTTACTGTTTCAATTGTTTGTCTTTTACCCCTCCTGCTGCTGGCCTGGTGCCTAGGTTGTAGTGGGCAAGGTCAGCCTCTGGCTCTGTTTACCCAGTGAAGAAAATCACTCCCCTGGGGACAGAGATCTCTCTGCCTGGGTGGGGTGACTTTCCCCTGGCTGAAGCTGAGCCCAGCAGGTTAGGTTAGGTTCCTGTGACCTGATGAATGGCTCCTATTATTTTCTTCCAAGGCCTGAGTTGGAGCTAGCTGCTCGGCTGGGCCTGAGTCAGTATCAAAGATGGAGTTCTTCTCTAGTGGTGGAGGAGGGTCTACCTTCCCACCACTACTCCATGAGACGTAATGAGGATGTCTTGGGTGTACTCACTCTAGCCTCTTGGTTTCTGGGCCATCCCTTGTTTGCCATCAGCAGGATGACGATTTCTGCTCCTTGTCAGTTCTTGCTGGTGGTGAGTAGAATCCGCTCTCACATCACACCTGGCATCTTTCTTTGGGCTCTCTCTGTTGATAGGGTGGCCACAGCAGCAGCCACTGCCACGGTCAGGGACCTGTGCTCAGATCTGTCTCCTTTCCCAAGCTGCCTGGATTTTTCCTCTCTGGCCAAACTCCCTGTTCTGTGATGGCACACTTTGTGTGTGCCTAGGACTGTTCACTGGAACACAAAAACTGCTTTCTGTGCAAGAGCTTGTTTAGCTTCCAGCTTCTCTTTTGCCATCTTCCTCCGGACCACCTATAGTCACTCTTGAAAGCATGCTTTTATAGTTTAGAAACTTTTCGCTTTTTAATTATATAGTTATTGATGGAAGTATACATTTCTTCCCAATACATACAAAACTATGAAATCAATAAGCCTGAATGCTTTGGTCACAGTTGTATTTTGTTTATCACAATGTTCAACACGGGATAGGATGGAAAACAAAATGTTTGTTGGTGTATGAGTCTATAAAAGAATATATGAATTGTTTAAGAATGGGTTTGGTTGATTGATCAAACATTTAACCTAGACTGAACAGCTTCTTTAATAATGTAAGACTAAAGACAATGTACAGGAAAAAAATACCTCAAAAACAGTTTGCTTCATTCGTCATATTTTGCCTTATATAATTTTATTTTTCTATATTAATGTTTACTATTTTACAAAGGATACAGAAAGGAAGTGCAAATAATATTCAATATTATTAGTTTTTTAGTATTGGTGGAAAACAAATTATACTTCTCATGATTTTCTATTACTTGTATAAATTATATCATAATTCTCTCACTTGTTAGTATGTTTTTCTTCCCACAATCCTATTACTTGTTTGGATGAAAACTATACATCTGTATAACATATCTACTTGTATCTCATACCTCCCTTCTTAACCAGATTTTTACTACATTTAACTCGTTGTTGTATATACATGTGCAATTTAAGCTGTACTGCTTAAATCCGTGGGCTGGATTTAATTCATCTATACAAAAAAATGTTGAGCAATTGATAGACATGCAATAAATGAATTATGAACCAAAGTAAGAAGTTAATAAATAACTGCATATTTCCCAATTTTTTCTTAATTTCTTTCAGTTAAAACTCAAGTGATGGGAGAAATAAAGATTGCCTTAAAAAAGGAAATGAAAACAGATGGTGAACAACTTATAGTTGAAATTCTTCAGTGCAGAAATATTACTTACAAATTTAAGTCTCCTGACCACTTACCAGGTAATTAACTTTATGATAATGTTTAATGTATCTTAGAATTTATTTAAGGTATATCTTGAGTACTATAAGAAATGGTAACTAAAATTTGGTCTGAATATAAAATGTATCATAAAATATAAAAAATGATTTTTAATTTTTTCTGTATAGATCAGATCCTTTTACACTAGTTTTTAATATAGGCTGCTATATTTATTAATCTACAGGAAAAATATATTCTTTAAATCACCTTAGACCAATAGGAACAAAGTGAATACAATTAACTACTTTTGTATAACGTGAGTTATTCTTTTAGTAGAAATTTGTCTTGTTTATTTGTCTTTGGAATGGTAAGGGGGCCACAGAAGTGGTGGGATAAAGAGTGAATAAATGCCACAGTGATACTTGCTAGACATTATGTTGAAAAAGAACTACACAGCTTGTAGGTAGGGACAGGAAGGAAAAAGTGGGAGAGAAGGGAAGGGATGGCATTATTCAGAGGAAATGTACTCTTCTTTTTTTTTACTTATGTAACTGTAACTTCTCTGTATTTCACCTTTACAATAACAATACATATTTTAAAAGAAAGAAAATTGTATGATTGATTGATGCTGAATGACTTGAAATGTTATTTTCAGATTTATATGTGAAAATATACATAATGAACATTTCTACCCAAAAGAAGGTGATTAAGAAAAAGACAAGAGTTTGCAGACATGATCGGGAGCCTTCATTTAATGAAACTTTTAGATTCAGCCTAAGTCCTTCTGGACATTCTCTTCAGGTAACTCTGCATTATACATTTATTGTTTCTAAGATTTTTGCTCATTTTTTATTTATTTGCTATTAGATTATTTAATATTTATAATATGTTAGAGTTTATACTATATATGCATATTTGTAATATGTTAGAGTTTATACTAGAGTTTATATTATATTTGAAAAATAATAATCATAAGAGATCTCTCCCAAGAAACCTTTTATACTTCTGTAGTCCACTCTGTTTATTTTATGTAGACTTCTTTTCCTGCCCTGGTCACTACCACTAATCTTCTTTGGGCCTGCATCTTTGTTCTTCACATTATTTTGGTAGTTTACTTACCCAGCTTGTCATTTGTGCTTGAAATCTTAAATCATGCCATCATACTGCAGCCAGAGTTATTGTTAAAACACTGGTTGGGTTACATTAAAGTTCTACAATGATTCATTCCAATGAGTCACCTACCTAGTGTTCTCTAAAGTGGCTCTTAATTATATTGATTTAGTTTCAGCTCCTTGTATACTTTTCCACACACTCAAGACTCTAGTCACATCAGAATCTTTTCAAATCAGGTTAAGCCTCCAATGCTTGTCTCACATTTTTCTTCCCTTTCAAAAATTCCCTTCTCGCTCCTCTCCATCTAATACCATATTCCATGTCTTTCAATAAAAAACACATTGCTATCACTGATGACACTACAAATAATTAATTTATCATACCTCCATCACAAATTACTTTGTTTATTGTTATGTTATCAATAACAGTCTGTCTTGTGCAATAATCTGTATAGGGATTAATTTTCATTGCTCTTTATCAAAGCATTTCATATTGTACATCTTCAGTAGACATAGAAATAAGAAATAGAAGAATAAATGTGGAAAGAAAGGAAGAGATTTCTAAAAATATGTAAAAAAAAAAAAAAAAGGGGAGGTGAACCAATTCAGCAGTGAAACCCATTAGACACTATGTTGGAAATGAACTATACAACTTTGAAGTCAGGGAAAACTGGGAGAAAATGAGGGAAGGGTGCACTATTCAAACAGAAATGTACTTTTTACCTGACTTATATGACTGTAACTTCTCTGAAGATCATCCTTTCAAAATTTTTTTAATAAAGTAAAATGAACTGAAAAAATATATGAAGAAATCTCGTGAAACTAGGACTTAAAGCACTAGAGATAAAGATGAGATATTAAAAGTCAAATATTCACCGAGAGGATTAACTGGGGTTTGAGTAGAATGGAATAAAAAGTTAAAGAAATTACTAAAGTCTATGTGAAAGAATATGTCATTCAGAGAGTGATTAGCCATAGAGATTAGTTGTAAAAAAGAAATATAGGTTTGTTTGAAAATAATTTATTAAGAGAGCAAGGAATCAAGCCACAATACAAAGTTATTTGAATATTCCTCACCAACCAGAAACCTACTGTTCTCTATGTTTCTTTCAATTATTCTCTAAAATTAACAACAAAAAGAGATCCCTTTGTTGGCTGATCTGTCTTTGAGAGGGTAAGTGGAGCACAGAAATGGAAGGGCAAAAGGTAAACAAATGAAGCAGTGGTACTCAGTAGAAACTATGTTGAAAATGAACTATACAAATTGTAGATGGGGACAGAAGGGAAAACCTGAGAGAGCACCAAGAAAGGACTAACACTGTCATACTCATTCCCTGATTTATGAAACTATAACCCCCTGTATATTTCTTTATAATAACAATAGAAATATTTAATATCAAAAACGAGATCTCTTCAGTCTTAGGCCCTAGGGAGGCATGTAAGCTCTAAATATAACTTAAGAAACTGTAGTGTTTGTATATGTATGTATATATATATACACATATATACTGTGTATATATATACTATAGTATAAACTACCAAACTACTAAAGTCCTATTTATTTACTCAGCATTCAAATCATTTTGTACTTTATTATTTCATAAAACAGCATAAATATAACTAGCAAGGTTATTTTGTGAAATCTTTCATCAATCTCAGCATATAACTAGTTAGAATTAGCTGATATGCCTTTATTATTTAATACTATTCATTAATACTATTCATATGCATTGGATGAGTCTTTTCCTTTCAGGATAAGAACAGAAATGGTGTGAAGTATCTGATATACCTAAAACTTTTGAGGAAATCTTCAGCATCAGAATGTATTTGCCTGACACTTCTTCCCTCCTGACACTTTCTTTTAAATGCCATTTCTTTGATGGTTAAATGTCCTTTAAATTAAAATGTCCTTTAAAATGTGTGTATATATGTATATATCCTTGACTTTTTTCCAGATTTTGCTATTCTCCAATGGAGGAAAGTTTATGAAAAAGACCTTGATTGGTGAAGCTTGTATCTGGTTGGATAAAGTGGATCTCAGAAAAAGAATAGTCAACTGGCACAAACTTTTGGCTAGCTCCAATCAAACACATTGAAAAAAACATGTCTGTTCAGGGTAATAAAATGGATATAAATATATACAAAGCAAGACTGTAGTTGGATACTGCTATATCAAGCTTTGTATTCAGGAGCAAACATGAGACATGAAACAACAGGCAAGAAAACAAGTGTTAACGCTTTGCAACATTGTTGTGGAACACAGGAAATTTGAAAATGGTCATGTGTTGGAAAGAAACCAACAAAAATAGAGCTCAGAGACCCTGGATTTCTCATGGCTATGAAGAGAAACTGAGAGGAATTCTGAATATAAAAATCTCTGAGAAGAATTGAGCTGAAAAGACAGAAGCTCAAAGATTAATATGGTTTCCAAAGGCGGTCGAAAAGCAATCCTTTAGTTGGAAACAAAAACATAAACAAACCATGAAATTGAATATGTTTTCAGATGTTCAAAAATCTTTCTTCTTCATCTTATATTATCCACAACTTTCTGGATTGAAATTCTGATATGAGATGCACCTAAACATGTGTCCCAGACTGGAAATGAGGATCTCTGTTCAAAGGGAAAAATGAAGCAGGATATATAGAATTGTGAATTTTGTATCAGTTGTACAAGTTTTTCCTGTGTCTCTTTAAAAAGATGTGCAATGAAATTTCAGAAACATGTAATAAAAGCACATTTTTCCATTTAATTGAAATAACATACAGTGAAGATAGTACTATATAGAAATGAAATTATATTTTTAGACAGAAAGCCAAGAATGGCTAATAAGTAGTGTTGACCCATAAAATATTGTAGCCTTGGTTGAAAACATTTACCAAGGCATTATCAATCTACATACCAAAGGACCTAAAAAATTCATAACGTTCTAGGAAGCATGACCACTTGTGTTATGAAAAATTACAAATACATGAATTATACTGCATATTTCCTTTCTCTCAAATAATATATTGACACAGAGAGAAAATTCAACCTCTGGCAAATAAGTCTTATTAATGTATGAAACTTACTAATTCAATTGATGTCAGCCTCTGTGATTCCATAACATTTTCCACATGGACTCTGTAACTAATTCTCCCTAGTTCTCTATTTCTCCCCATTAATGATAATATCTTTGTGATCAGGTTGATCAACTTTGGGAAATTATGTGGAAAAAGTCAATAATTAAATGCAAAATATACATTGAACTATTTTAATAATATGAAATGAAATAACCAATGTCTGCATCATTAAAAATGAAACATCCTTTTATTAACCATTAATAATGAAAGTAGCACAGAGCTACTGTACAAGTTTAATTAGCTGGGATTAAAATTGTGGCTTCTGGTTTGAATCTGCTACTGAGCTTACACAGGTCACTTATACCACCTTCCTGTTTTCGTATCTTTAAAAACAAAGATATATTCCTAATCTTACTCCTTAAGCATTGAGATACCGAAAGCAAGAGATCTATGAAAGATGAAAGCACATTTCCAAATATAGTTTTATACACAGAAGTGAGGAGTAAGTATTATGGAACATTTCATTCCTCAAATTTTATATGAGAGAAACAGCCCCAAACCAATGAGAAGCATTGATATACTTAAATGCAGTAAATTAATTCCAAAATTCATTTCATTTAGAAATAAACTTTCACTTAGCTTAAGAAAAGGATGAAGAATTAAATGAAAAATATCTGCACGTTTTTTATACCAAACCCAATGAGTCATACAGATTTTTATCTTACCCAAATTAAATCAGAAATTTATGAACCTAAAAGCTTCTACTTTATTCAAGATGAGGTTTTGATGTGGCTTAGAGGTAACCATCTTTAAAATATGGGTCAGATATTGAATTTTCTTATTTTTAATGAAAATACTTCAAATTTGAAAGAAATGTAAAACATTACCATAAAGAATTTCTTACATATACAGACTATATATCTTTATTATATTCATAAAGAAATGTAAATACAGTTTTCCCCAACCTAATATAACCATCACTTGCCTTTGCTCTATTTTTCACTCCCCACCCCCAACAATGAAATACCAGTTACTATTGATATTGCTCTATAAAGAGCATGAGGGAAGAAATTATCAAAGATATGGTATTTTTCAGGTTTCATTTTTTTTAAAAGACTAATAGATCTGCTGTTTGTTGCCATGGATATTTCCAGCAGAAGCAGTTGAGGAAGCTCATAATCATCAGTCATAAAGGTCTGGGAAGATCTCCTTCTCACATCAAAAGGCTCTACTATTTGCTATTAAAAAGAAATCCTCTTCTCTGGTCCTCTCCTGCAGCCATGTGCCTCCAGAGGTATGCACGAGAAGTTGTATGACCAGTTGATATATTTCATTCTTGTTGTGATTTCTTTTGGACTAATAAAAACAGAAGGACTAGCAGAACATGATCATCCTTGAGAAGCTGTTTAACTGGAAAGAATGAGAGCCTTTCTATTTCAAGTGCCCTTGACTTCAAGGAACTGGGGATGGGACTAAGTCGCTCAAAGTCAAAATGAGAGGGCTTCTTTTTTGTGCACCAGCATCCCCTTCAGAGAGCATAAGATGCTGTCAGTGTGCCAAGTTTGCAACTGACCAAACCTCTAGGTTGTACTGGAATTATTCTATGCAACACTGATCCTTATATGAATGAATCTCTTCTGAATGAGTTTGATTACCCTTCTTACCACAAAACTATTCCTTTTTAAATTGCAAATAGGGCTCTTAGTGTTTTTTTTTACTTTTTTGTATATACCATAGCACATGATTTACCACATATTATTTTATTTTATTTGAATTGCCTTTTTTAACCTAATAGAAATAGTTTGTAATTTCTAATTAATTATGTGATTAATCCAATTACTGCATTTATAAATGAGTCATCAAAGACTAAAGTTGTTTGTTAAAATTTGGCCCAAAAGAAACTTTCAACTGTAGAAGAAATAGCACAGAGTGAAATCAAACAAAAGGCAGGGAATTTTTGAATCATCATCATAAACACAGATAAGCTACTAGAGAAGTTGCTGTTTTCTCTGTCTTCATCTACTACTAAGGAAAATTGTGGTGATTCTAAATTCTTTATTTACCAGTTTAGTTTAAAGGAACAATATCCACAACAAAGGAGTAATCATTATCTTTGCTTGTTAAAAATCACCCACGTTTTAAAAAAAAATCACACTAATAAGAGGTATATTTTTAGCGTATCAGTGAGATTAATTTTGTGGACCACACACATTAAAAAAGTCATATTGTGGGACTATTATAGCTGGTAACCAGCTGATTATTGATTATTGTTGCAGGAATGGTGTTGACGATAGTGATGCTAACTATAGTGACAGTTGTGGTGGTGGTGTAAAGTAAAACAAATAATATATTATTATATTGTGCCCAATCAATTAGAAATTATTTGATCAATGCTTCATTTCATTAAGATATCACAAAGATATTTATAGTATTTTTTTACTTTATTATTTAAATCATAACTAACAATATTTTTAAAAAATTATTTTCATTGCTAGAATATCAAATATTCCAAAATTAGCCGGCTACAGCTCTATGTGTTTATAACTGTATGTATTGCAGAGGTGACTTTCCCTTTTTGAACTTGAAATGAAAGTAAAAGAAAACTCAATTAAAATGGTGAGCTATTTCTTTAATAATTCTTGCCTTCAGTGTAAGAGTGAATGAGTAAAACAGATATTCTCATTGAATATGGCTCACTGATGTTTTCTGTATGTCCCATGTTGTTATTATCAAAAGTGCTCACTAATCCAAAATCATCTCCTCAGATTCTTTATCCGATAGGTAGATTGAGAGTGTTTTCTTAATTTGTTAATTGTACATAAGTATAGATTTGGTAAAATAGGTAAAATTGAACTATTCACTTCATTTGGAAATTGCATGTGAATATAATTATTCACTTGTGTCTGTATTTGTTCCGTGATGTGCTCGGGTGCTCCCACTACTGATTACTGTGTGTGCTAATATCTTAAAAAATTACAGCCGATAGTAAGGGGAAAAACTTGTCTAAAAAAATTAAATCCTAATAAAATTGATTTCAAATTTAAAAAAAGTACTTGGAGATATGTTTTGTTTCTAACTATATGTCGCATGCCATGTTGGTGATTGCTGATGTGGGGGTTGTTTAAGGTTGAGGGGTTATTAAGGTTACTAAAATCCCTCTAGAAAATTTAATGAACAAATGCAAATAAATCATTTGGCTAGAGATTTATAAATTGACCTAAAATACATGAGGATTGTGAAAAAACGCTTATACAAATCTGTCTCAAGTGTAAAAATATGTCTTGGTTTTGTGATTGTACACAAGATGTATCTTGATAACTTATGTAAATTGTGTCGAATAAAGGCTGCTGTCTCAGCCTAACTAATAAATATTGAAAATATCAACTTGGGTGTGTTCTGGTTATCAACAAGTGTTGGGGCTCAGACATAAACCTTTTTTTAGCATTCACAATGTGCAACAAAAGTCTAAAAACCATAACAAAACAAAATGAAAAGGAGATAATTAGTACAGACATAGATTTTAGATTTTATATAAACAGTTTAAAAGAGATGCCTTTTGATGGCTACGATTTTCTCAGTGAGATTAAGTATGATGTCATCTGCTTAGAGTAAAAAAAGAAACTAATAGGGACTAACTCTTGAATAAAAAAGATTTTAAACAGTTCTGGAGCAGAGTAACAGAAAAGGTAGACTTGAAGAGGGAGATCCTCCACATAGAAGGTTCCTTTGAGCTTGGTGAGAGTGTGCAGTCATATCCATCTGCCATGTTACCATCTGTGACTTTTCCCTGACTGAATAGAAAGTTTATATGTAAGAGCAGAGAAATTTAGAAGTATATGTGTGCATGTGCATATGTGTGTGAGAGAAAGAGAAAAGCAGCAGCAGCAGCAGCAGCAGCAGCAGCAGCAGCAGCAGAAGAAGAAGAAGAAGAAGAAGAAGAAGAAGAAGAAGAAGAAGAAGAAGAAGAAGAAGAAGAAGAAGAAGAAGAAGAAGAAGGAAGAAGAAGAAGAAGAAGAAGAAGAAGAAGAAGAAGAAG